TATATAGTCTGTACATCGCTGTTCCGTGGCTTTGAATAACATACTTGTACAAGTTATCAATCACCAATATGTAGTTTTAAATGCGACTGTGTGTATCCGTAAATTAGTGCCTCATTCATGGGTTATGATTTATGAAAGCGTTTCTTTTTTTCATGGCCTACTAGATTTGGGTCTCTGCGGAAGAACCTTATTTCTGCTCGAGACTCAAAGAGTCGAGAGTCGAGTCGAGATGTTATATATATTATTTTGTAGAAAAATATATTATGGAAGAAAAAAAAAAGCCTTTATATTTGACGTAAATTTGTATTTAACTAAATCTCTAGAGCATCCCGTAGTCCCGTACCCGCCTACATCTAACTATGTTTTAAAACCGTTAAACGTAAAGGTTTTTAGATTTTTTAGGTTGTATTTTCATACTTTAGAAAAAAACAGTTTGAAGTAAAACTTGCACCTGTGGAAGATCTACTAAAAAAAACGAAGTAAAAGAAAATGACTAAAAAAGGTATGACTCATTAAACGTACATATTTATGTATTAGTGGGGTTTTTTTGTGTTGTTTGTTTTTAATAAAAATATTTAAATATATCAAAAGTTGAACGCATATACATACATATATGTTTTTTTTTTTGAAAATAGAACACGGCTTTATAGCGTATGATGACTCATTACTCCTATTATAATATTAGCATCCTGATATGTTTTGACGTGTAAATAAATAACTCTGTTCTTAGGTCTCTCTGGGATGTATCACTATATGTATGAAATAATATTTATTTGCATTCTTCCCTTTTTAGCCTTTTAGACCAAATAACGCACAAAAAGGATAAGCGCTTCTGATATGCCACGCATTTCTTCGAAGAATACACGATGGCCACAGATCCAATGATGCACATCAATTCGGAGTGGTCGGGGCTAGATGGCCTTGATGCTTCTAGTATCCCTGATAAATGCGTACACGAGTTGTTTATGGATATGGTGGAGTTGTATCCGGATGTACCAGCGTGTTGGTTTGAGGATGACAAAAGCACGACATTAACTTACAAGCAGGTGTGTTAATGACAAATCTATTCGAAGCTGATTGTATTGCAATGATACTCAGATGAATTTGTATAGAATTGTAAACTTCGAATGCCGACATCTAAATGAGTTATCTGCGCAAATTTACGTAAATATGTATGTTAGAAGCATATTTTATTCTCGCGACGAAATTTATTCAGTTAAATCTACATACAATGCTACAAGTTGGATTTGTGGTCGTAATTTATATGTATTTACATTATATATACAGAGCTGTGCATATATGATTCACAACAGGTGCAAACACTGCATACCATAGTTTCCCTCTCCATATTCGCCCTATTCTAATATATTTTTGTCAGGACAATAACTTCACCATAGCACTCGACAAGAGAGCTTTTCATATCTCGTTCATTTTAAAAACATGGGCTTAGATGCATACGTGACAGAATGATCCATTCACTACTCTTGTGATCATAGTTACATCTCAAGACAGTAGTAATATAATATTGCGATTTCATAAATTGACACGCTGATACAAAATATATTCAACATAAATTATATATATATATATATATGATGCAGTTACACAAGGATTTGTTACTATATTTAGCCCTTTGTATATTTATATATATATATATATATATATATGTGTGTGTGTGTGTGTGTGTATACAACATATATAGGATA